CATGAAATTTCAATTTACCGAATCTTACGCAAAATTACACAAAATTACGTAAATTACCGTAATTTTAACATCCCTATACGTGCCTAAAGTTGTATTTGATTATATTGCACGTAATTTAGGCAAGTGTAATTTGGCCCGCATTACATAATTGTTTACTAATTTCCAGTCAGAATAACTTTTTTTCAATTACAAAAATAGAAATTTTTAAAAAATAAGTCTGCATTGTGACAAAATTGGCCCAGGAAAATTAATAAGTTACATTTACATTACGTTTGATAATGGATTGGCACATGATTATTGTACCAACATTATGTAAGTTTGGCCAGTATTATTTGAGTTCTATCACTACGTTCGGAACTATAATTTTATATTCAAAAGTACACAAGACATAATGAAATTTTTGGCTACATTATTCACATGATATCAAAATTACATGAAATTTTGGTTTCGGAAAACATACAAATTTTCATTAGTAAAATTATGAGTAATTCCGGTTTAATTTTTTGTCGGTACTCTTGGCCAATCAAAATCTAGGTTCAGTTCAATTCACAATTCTTTCGTGTAATAGAATATCATTTGCTCATTTAATGCTAATAAAAGGAAAGTATGTAAAAAAAGACAAATGGTACGTAATATTGAAAAAAATAAATGTTCATTTTTTTCCCCTCTAAATACGTTATACCAATATCGATATATATTGCTAAACTCAAATCATGAAAATGCATCATAATATAGTATATACAGTAGTCCTGAATATAAAATTTTTTCTGATTTTTTAGATCTTTTAGCTGAGTCTTTACATTGTTGTGCAACTATTTAAATCATAAGATTATTCTAAAGAAAAGTTCCTTGGCGCCGGGTAACTTTGTTGTTTTTTATTTGGATAAGATAGTTGTGTGCGAAACAATAGTATTCTTTTTACAGAACAGTGTAATAAAATTAAAATAATTTAAAATTGTTAATGAAATTAAAAAAAAAAAAAAAAAAGTATAACTTACATGCAATAATTAATTTAAAACCGAGTATTATTATGTACTGTATGTCCAGCCCATTGTTAATGGCATAGTCAATTGATTAGCGTTAAAATTCTTTTGAATACTTTACCCCATTTGTATTCTTTGTATTTCTGTGCTCCTTGAGAATATCTACGCCTTTTGAGTTGTAGTAATTAATTGGTCAAAGAATGCGTCAGAATATTCATCAGTTATTGCACTATTAATCACAAAGTAGGTAATTCCGTTTGTCCTCGATCTAATATAAAATGGATAAAAATTATTTTGCCCTACATAATCAAAGAATTGAATCGAAACTGTTCCTTTGAGAAATATTGAATGTTTACATAAAAAAATTGATTTGTTAGAAAAAACAGCAACTACAAGTCCAATGGTCAATATCAGTGTTGTCACTGGAATTCTGGAACGCCACTGTAGCACTCATATAAAAGTTATTTTTATTTCATCAAAGCCGTTATTGCTGTATTGTTGGTTATATTTTTATCGGACTCTTTAATAAATTAGACAGATTGTATCCGGTATATAATATAATTGAAAGTCCGAAGTGCCATTTTCCCTTGCATGACCACCAAAATCAGTTACATCGCTGTTTAAAATCTGATCTGATCTCGTAACCCAGCAAGTCAACGACATTTTTTTTTACATTATATATTGATATTATCGTTATAAAACTTAATTAAATTTTTAAATACTATCATTAAAAATTTTTATTGTGCTTAAAAAAGAAAAAAGCCAAGTTTATTCGAATGTTTTGAACTTTTATTATTGGCTTTACATAATCTTGTAATATGAATATTTGCAAGTTTCGAATTACAGTACCAATAAAAAGTATTTTTATTCCGTTTATGTTAGGTTTTTTTGCTTGGTTTAGATTTTTTATATCTTCTACCATTTTCTGAATTGGTTTAAATATTTTTCAACGATTTTTTCTGTTGCGGAAGACTATATGACTTTTCAAGAAGGTCAAGCGTCTATATTGAAGTAATATCGATATTAATACTTCTATTTATTATGTTGTATAATTAATTAGATAAAAATAATAAATAAACTATACCTCATGAAGAGTTTGATCGATAATTTCTAATTCAATTTCATTATCTTCACTTAATTCATCATCTTCACTTAATTCATCAGCTTCTGCAATATTCGTGAATCCTCTTCTTCACTATCCATAAGTTTTTATAAATGATATCTTCAAGATCTTAAAGCTCTATAGCATTTTCTTGCATTTCACAAATGTCATTTGTATTTTGCTCCTGACGCTTCCGTTTTGACCTTTATTTATACGAGCTAAGCATTCGGTACATGTTCTTTTACTACTGTCAAATTAATTATTCTGTTTTGTTTTTTGGCAAGACGAACATTCTTTCAGATTCGATTGGGTTTATAATTAATTTCCATTAATAAATTTTTATGAATATTTGGTAAGGAAAATTTTAAGCAGCACTTGTTATTGTTGTATTATAAGCAGGTATCGTCATATTTATGACATCGTAATAATTTTAATAAATATCATCAACAATAGCTAATACATTGTATCATCAAATTTTCGGTAAATGATTTTAACCCCCGTCTGTAACTGATTTTGGTAGTCATGCTAGGTTCGTGAAGGAACTGGAACCTCCCTAGCATGACCACCAAAATCAGTTACGTAATCGCTGTTTAAAATCCAAGATCCTGTAATCCAGCATATTATATTATATCGATATATAACGATAAAAACTTTTATTAAGATATTATAACGATTTAAAATTTTTATTATAAA